CCCTGCGGCCCCGGCCGGCACGGGGATCCATCCCGATGTCCACCGTGAGGTTGGTGTAGAGAGGGTGGAGGTGCTTGGCCAGCAGTGTGTAGGTGAGGGAGTTCATCCCGTCCTGCGTCCACATCCGCTGTGTGCGGATCAGCAGGTCGAACCTGGAAGGGACAAGGGAGGGGGAACATCACCGCTGAGGCCCCAGCCAGCCCCCCCCATACCCACCACCAGCCCCCTGACCTGTGGGGGTTCTCCTCGTTGCCTTTGTCACTCTTGTGCTTCACCATCTTGTAGTGGCCGATGGAGATGGGTGGGCGGGCGATCTTCATGCCGGCCAGGCGCACCCTGCAAACAAGCTGCCATGTCACCTGAGGGTGCCAGGGTGTGGGGACGCCATCTGCGTCCCCCCCCAGTGCAGCAGCAACATCCCCCATGTGTTTGTCCTGTGTGGTGACACCGTCACCGTGCCCAGAGTGGCCAGTGCCTCCCGGTGGGACACAAACATGGGGGATGGTGAAACCAGCAGGTCTCCACAACATCCTACCTGGTGGCAATGTCATCGTCCTCGCCCCCCCAGCCCCAGTACTCATTGGGGAAACCGTTGATCTTCATGTACTGGTCAGGGGTGAGAGCTGAGACCCCGCCGAAGTACTGGGGGTACGGCAGGCTGCAAGAGAGGGGGGACACTGAGCCAGTGCCTGTTCCTTGCTCCCAGCTTGCCCCCCGCTGCAGTCGCTCACCTGTATCCAAATTTATTCATGGCAATGGAGACATGTTTGGGGTTCCAGGGGTCGCAGGTGTAGAGGTTGTGGTCATTCTCAGGGATGAGGTCAACGTCATGGAGGAAAAGGCAGTCCCACTCCTCATCCTTCAGTGCCTCCTTCACTCCCACGTTCAGCAGCTTGGCCCGGTTGAAGGTGGAGTTGCCCGCCTGTGGGGAGAGGCAGCTGCAGTGGCGGATCCCGGCACAAGCCCGGTGAAGCCCCAGGTGCCTGCTGGACTCACCTGGTGCACAACATAGATGCCATACTGGAGCTGCTGGCGCTGCAGGAAGGGGTGCAGGTAGTAGAGGAGGTGGCCCAGGTGGGTCTCGCGGTTGCGGTAGGGGATGATGATGGCAGTGCGGGACCGGGGCTCACAGGTGGAGGGTTGGTACCGGCCACCCTCCTGCACCGTCGGGTTCTTCG